AGATAACCTGAGTACATATAACTGAGGCAACCCTACCCTTAGAAGACCCTTCTGTCTGTTACAAGAAATATAAATGACCGAAGACTTGGTGACTAAAAAGCCTGGCCATTGGTGCGATGACCAATTCAAAGATGCTCCCTTCGTTTTTGGTATTTGTCACGAACACCAACAAAAGGGGTCAGATTAAAAGTAAAATCATATACTGGATAGAGTCATGCACTAACTAAATTCAAAGCAAAGTTGGGATTTCTCCATGTGATCAACGCATCAAGAAATGGAGATGTTGAAGGCTTGAAGTCCAGCTCATTTTGCAAAGTCACAAGTTCTGATATTAGTCAAAGATATTTTCTTGCAAGTGCACGGACTTTTGTATCGAAATGGGATGATGTGATGCGGGAGCCAGGCAAATATAGTGGATTAAGAAGAATCTACAAATTAAAATTTTGAGCAAGAAATATTAGCGAACTTAGATTTCTCCAAAGGTAACCAGAAGCTAAAATTCATCAATGAGCAGCACAAATGTGAGAACAAAACTACTATAGACTATAACATCAGTATCACTGATGCAAAATATTCAATCATTAATCTAACCCATTATAGGTGTCTTGTTATTCCAATTGACCTTTCAAACAACTCTTATTAATCATACTAGATACTTCAAAATTTTGCAAGTAGGACACAAGGAAGAAAAAGGTTCGACAAATGTGGTCAGTTCATTGCTTTTCAAAGCTTTTTTACAAGAAAGTAGACATTTTTTATAATGCGCAACAATCTTTAGAATGATAGATCAAGCCCACATCCATATTATGCGAGTAGGAAAAACATTTAACAAAAGATTAATTTGCTTACCTTTACATAAAGCTCATGGACCTCTTGGAAAAAGCTCTTGATTCCATCATCATTACGAGAGTCATGAAGTAGCATAAGCCGCGTATGTATGATAAGTCAAAGAAAGTATCAAATTCAAATTGGTCTACAAATAGAAACCATAGGTGAATGACCAGGGGAACCACAGCTTATTATAACAACATATAAGAGCACCTTCAACCGACAAAGCAAAATTTCTTGCAGAAGTGTGCAACTAGTGCCATGTGCACAATGCCATCATGTCAAACAGAAAGGAAAGGTGCAAGATTCTACAATTTGATAGCAGTAAGGCACAATGAGCCCCAATCTTCTTCTGATTTCCATTTAAATATTGCTTTGATTCATTTCAAGTTCAAGATACTCATTAAACATCTACAGATTCACAGATTTGTTTCACATGTAAGCTTTTTAGTGCATTATGGGAAAAATACTAAGCGAGCTCAACTATTCTTCTTTTTTTGCAAGTTCAATAATTGCTTCTTGCAAGCTTAAGGATGCCATGCTATAAAAAATAAACAAAAACAACAAGAACTAGACAATTTATACCATTGGAGCTCATTAAGAAGCAGAAACATAATAGACATTTGACAAAACCAACCGATCAGTTCATAAAGGATATGACCGGCAGTGACATATAACTGAGACTACCAAATTCATTGAACCTGTCAATTGCTTTCAAGAACCTGAAAAGATTTATAACAAGATTAGCAGTACAACTAAGGATAGAAGCAAACAAATAAAATGCAATAAAAAGGAGAGTAATTCCTCTCCGACATGTTGACATCAATATATTATAAGGACTATAACTGACATTGCACTAGTAGTCCATGCAAGGTCCTGAACAATATCCAGAGCTGCATGCAATATAAACTGGTGCAGCTGAGCAGCATCTTCTCTCTGGCATGAGGTAATGCAGCCAGAAATTCAGCAATAAATTATTTGCAAGCCAAAGGCCAATGAATTACAGAAAACTAGACACACTAAAATGGACAGGAATCTGACCATTAAACACTTCGAACCAGTGTCATTACAAATGCACCAAAGTAGCAAACAGCTTAAGAATAACTTAATAATTTTAAAACAAATCACAGTAACTTAATAGAAC